TCATGAGCTCCGAAGTTATCTGTATCCAGGAGGAATAAAAGGACCTTGTTGAGCACAATGCAACACTTCACATGGCCAGAGGAATGTGGCCTATGTGCCTAAACTGAGAGGTTAGAGGTTAGGGCAGAGATGGGTCACTATCCTAGATTCAGGCCAACCAATGGGATGGGGTATTTCCTTCTTCACTTGCATCCTGCTGAACATGGTTGACTTTACCAACTAAAGCAAAGGCTCTTATTTTAGTCCCTACGTAAGGGGCGTCTCAGTACATAGTGTTCTGCCACATATGAGGAAAATGGAGTCACTCAGGCCCTTTTTCACTTCCCGCTGTACCCTACCCTCTAAGGCCACCACCTGTGGCCTTGCGCTTCTCCCAGGGTGCATTGCCCGCGCGGGATACGGTGCCAGTGAAAAAGCTTGGAAGCATGAGCACGGGGAGCCAGGGCGCCCAGAGGAGAGGCTGTGTGTCTGCCTGGGTTTTGGCTGGACTCAGAGAGCACTGGATGTGCTGATGTAAATACCAACATCTTGGCTGGGAGGCGGGGTGCAGGGGTGGGGGTTCCTCAGTTCTGGCCTTCAAGGCAACCTCACCCTAAGGGTACTGGGCTCAGTTGCTGTCTCTGTGCCTGCAGGTCCATCTCCTGATTCAGCATTAAAGACCTGTAAGCTCTGTGGAGGCCAAGGTTCTCTTCCCCTCAGCCCTGAGCAACATAGAACCTACCGGCCTGGGAGGGTGGTGGAGCACCCACCACGTAGACGCTCTTCGTGGGAACGTCTCATGAGGATCGCAGATGAGGTCAGACCTCACTTGCAATACCTACAATGTGGGGTCACTTCTCTTTGAGGTTCAAAGTTCTCTTTGGGTGTTAGGGTCTACTAAGGGATGACTTTCCTTACCCATTTTCTGAGTGACCTTTGACCCTAAAGCCAAGGCATTCTGGCTGACTTTTTTTGAAGGCTGTGAGAACTGAGGATTCTTGCAAGTGGCCTGGTCTTAGTAGAACTTTGCAGACACTTTCCTAATATGACCATGGTTATAATTGTCCTTTATAGAGGGGCAAATATAGTGTCCCTGGATTTATGCAAATAAGTATCAATACATTGCCATGAGATATACCCATGCATTCAGGTCCGATTCTTGGCTGTCAGGGAGTGGAAACAGAGGGTTCAGTTCTGCTCACAAAAAGTTACAATTCATTATTACGTAGATCATAGTTCAGCGCCAAAAGGGAAGATTTCTTTTTAAATCAAATTTTAACACTTTAATACTGTTAACAGTTACTAAACATTTTGCTAGTCTTTCACAGCTCATTTATTTCTATGCAGGAAATCTCAATATCTTGCTAGCAATTTTGTAAGTTTAGTTTTTTTTCAAAAACTATAATTTTGGGCCCTTCTTGGTGGTGCAGCTGGTTAAAGCACAGCAGTAAGAAACTAAGGCCACTTCCGCATGAGTTCGATCCCAGCCCCAAGGGTGACCCACATGGTGCCGCAGATCTCTCCTGAC